TTCCCAGTACCACAGTCCTGTGGCGCCAGTAACTGTGAGAACAAGCCATGGCTTAGATGGAAATGTTGTCCCAAGGAATTGAATAATCTCTTCTGAAGAGAGGCTGAAACTTTTTTTTTTTCTTTTTGTCCCCACACTCTTATTGTTTCAAACGCAAAATACAATGCTGTCATCTTCCAGGCATTCCAAAAAAACAACAAGAAAAACCCCGTGGCATTACAAAGGAATAAATATTGGGATGGTACCAGGCTGAGTTGCTGGCAGTCAGTGTGATGGGTGTGTTTCTAGAAGGGAAAGAAGTAGGCCAGCTTTTTCTGCACATAACCACAGTCATTATCTATCGTAAGAGCCTAACTGATTGATAAACTGTCAGAAACATTTCCTTTCTTCTTTTTGGTAAAAGCTGTGATCTGCTACCAATTTCTCAGCTTGTTCTTTTAGCTCCCCCCCTTAAAAACAAACAAACAGAAAATCCCATTTTTATAATTGAGATTCCCCATGAGAGCCGGTCATTGTTTTGAAGCTTTCAACAAAAAGTTAAGATTAATGGTGCATGTTCCCAGATGTTACTCTTTCTAAGTTCATTTATCCCAGAAAAAAGATATTTGTTTCTAAAAATACATGGTAGAAAGCTGTCTCATAAAACAGCATCAAAGCTTACTTGGTTTTGTGGGTATTTAATTTTTCATTACTCTATCAAAATTTTGCCCACAGATCTCTCTGTGATTGTTCGGATTTGCAACAAGCCATTCTTTCAGTAACATTTGCGTTAGACTTCCACTGGTCTTCCTTTGGGGGCTTGTTTTCATTCACCACACTTGTACTTTCCATCCTGAATGATAGCGCCCAGTTAAAAAATGATGGGGAACTTAACTACTTTGCTTTTTTACACAGCACGGCGCTGTTTTGCCGCAAGGCATAAATCTTCCATCAGTAGCATCTCATGTCACCAGTAATCGCTAAGCATTTATTTCTTCCAAATGGCACTGATGGCCAGTTTATTATTTTGTCACTGGTGCTATTCGTTTCAAATTCATTAGAAACTTCACAAACTTGCCATCAGCTGAATCAATTTTTACAAATGCAATGCTGAGCCATTAGGGAATGCAGTGCGGGGCAATTAGGGGATTCATTCTTTCCATAGTTATCACAAATTCCCTGAAAAGTCTAAATAACACCTTTTTTCCAAGGAGATACTTTATAAGAGTGTTGTGCTGAGCATCTCAGCCCCGGACTCAAGTTAAAGAGCACCCAGAACTATTTCCCCCCCTCATCTGTTTCCAAAGTTTGTGCAATTATTTATATAGAACGCTGTTTTTTCCTCAAAGAGAAATTCCTCAGGACTCTAATTTTAACAAGAGTCAAATGCCAGGAGGACAGCTTTTGAGAACGTCCCTATGAGAAAAAAACATAGTAGTCACTGCTATTGTTACAAACACCTCTGACTCCCAGGCACATCTGGGATAAGTGCAGGGAGAGATTGAGGGTGGGCAAAAATCCTTCCTTGAGACATGAAAAATTCCATGTGATGGTATCAAAGAGCATCCAGATAATTGCTCTGGGGGCAAAACTGCTGGTCCGAGTCCTGGCTAATGATCCTAACAATGATCTTCTGGGCACCTGGCAGAGCTCTAGTGAGGTCATCAACGGCCTTCCACTGACTTCAGAGCAAGTTGGAAATAACTGTAGGTGAGGTTGGGAGCTCTTTGCATCCTTTATTCTGCATGTTTCTGTCTTAGGAGGCTCTGGGATTTAAAGAGAATACTAAAATGAAGATAGCAGATTTATTGGCTAACTCGTGTTCTTACCTAATCCAAAATGCCCATTGGTATGAACAGAGCCAGAAGTAAATAAAAACGTTGAGCCTTACCATTATGTGGGTAAATGTGGGGGGTTTTAAATAGTGAAAGTGCTGTGAAATATAAGACCTTGGGAAACACATCAACGTTCATAAAACCCAGTTGTTGGATTTTTTTCCCTGTATGAGTTTTGATAAGATTGAATTGTAACTAAGAAAAATTTTAATCGTTGGCAGAATCTCTGTAGGAAGCTTACAAAAGCATGTATTTCTTTTACTGTCTTGGCAATATCACCCTAAGGTTGAAAAGAATATTTGAGAGATTCTGAAGCAACAGAGAAGTAAAAAGAAAAATCTGAATTGTCTGTGGTCTCCTTCTTACCTTTTATTCCTATTCAGAACAAGGAAAAATATCCTTACTTTGGTCCTTAAGAATAGTAGTCGTGAACCAGAATCTTGGCTCCAAACTGTTTCCAAAAGTTAAGACAAGTTGTATGCAGATCAGCAGGATAGTACTGACAGATGCTTACTCAGAGAGGTACAAGCTTTTCCCAGTTGTGTTGTGAGATTTTTGGAAGGGAAAAGGAGGAAGAAGGAGATTCAATGATTTCCTTCAGCAAGTGTCCAGATATAAATGCACTTATTTCTGACTTGAACATGAATAAGGACCATGTGTAGTATGTCAGAATGACATCCACGTCTAAGCAAAATCTCCTGGTTTCACTTTTTGCTTCAGGCTCACAATCCCATCCAAGTTTATCCAGGAGCCCCATAAGTGCCAAATTTCAGGTGAATGCAGGTCAGATTTCAAGTTTGCCTGTATTTTCAGAAGGGACTTGTGACTTCTACGTTAAAATTGCACAAAACTCCGTGGCTCCTTTCGTAAAGGTCCAACCCAGAAAATGAATAAACATATCCAGGTTTCCAGAGTTTTGTTCTAACCTTGAGTTTCAGTCAGTCTCCAACTCAGAATGTCTAATTTATACAAATAGCAGATGACCTAAGATGAACCAAAATCACTAAGTATTACATACCGTACAACTTTGCATATTCATTTCATGGGAATGTATGTCATAACACCAACATTATGTCTGAACAGGACCCCCAAACCATCTTTTAAATGAGCGCGTTCCTCAGAATTTGATGGATTGTACTTAAAAACAAAAAGCTACACCAAATCCTTTCAGTCATCTTTAGCTTTTGAAAGTGGTATGATGCATTAATGATTACAATGCAAATATATGGGTATAAATAACTACTGAAAACTGCCAACAACAGAAAAGTGTGGGAATTCCAAAATAATATTCGTGGAAAAGTGTATTTGGGGAAGAAAACAATGTTGTCGGTATTTACAAGCCTTTTTACTCCTATCTCAAAAACTTAGAAGTGAGTGTTATCATCTGGTCTTGCAAGAACATTTGCAGAAAATGAAGGCTTTAGAAGTGTTAAAAGAAATGCATTTGCGTGCATTCTGCTGCCAGAAATATCTGTAAAAACACACGCTTCTTTGGTTTGCTTATGTCCCCCATTTATGAAATTCTGATGAAGGGTAAAAATATAATGTGCTTAATAAGAGTCAGCTATGTGGTCTAGTGGTTACTGGGTTATATTTAGAACTGGGAGACCTGGGATCCTTGCCTGGCTCAGATATTGAGTTGCCTTCTGTCCTTGGGCAAGGGACTTCACTATTCTTCATCTATGCATCTGCTTTTACTCTTTTGTCCCTCTTTCACATCTAGACTGTAACATGTTCAAAACAGGGCATGAATCAGCATCGCCATGGGGGTCGCACAGCGCCCACCGCAGCAGATTGCCAGTTTAAGCAGGGATGATCATACATCTAGCAGCAATAAATGCTCCCTTGCAAGTTTAACGTGTGGTTTCCATCTTCTTTTGCATTCCAACACAATGCATGATGCCAGGGTAAAACATTCAGACTAAGAGAAGCTATCAGACCTGGAGCTGGTCTTGCAAGAGCACCTCGTACTGCTCTTCAACTCATGGCAGCAAGTTTTGGGAAAAAGCGTTGTGCCCTCCTAAGGGTGCTTTTCTGTCTGGCTCTTCAGTCAGCTGTCTCCTTCACATCTGGAGACCTCAGCAACAAGCATCAATTGAGTATCAATCCTGTCTCTACACTTGAGATTATGCCCCATAACCGGTCTCTTTCACCACATTGAATTTGTAGAGTACTTTGATTCCAGGGGATGACTGCCTGCACACCACCTTCAGTTTTAGTGCACAGCCACCTCCCCAGGAGGTTTTGTTGCATGGAATGAGTGTTAGTAAGCAAAATACAGGCAGTAAGAGAATTGCACATCTCAACTCAGCTGGTGCTTGATGTAAGACTGAAAGCACACACCGTTTTAGAGGAGAAAACTTCAGTTTAACTTTGGGGGCTAGGTGTGGAGTAGTGGTATGTTGGAGTCTCCTAAAGCACTGGAGGGTAGAAGCAGCATTCTTTGATCTGGGGAAAACACTTTGAAGGCTATAGCAAAATCTCTCCTGAGGTACATATATATTATGCAGAAAGATGTGTTATACTTTTTAAAGGGCAAGCTTTGAGAGCTATGAGGACTGTCATTCAATGGACATAAATCAGCGTAGCTCCACGATGTTTATTGTTCCCATTGCAAGCAACTCATTCATGGTTGAAGACATGAAACTGTTTCTTCTTCCAACATGACACTTATGCAGCTGTTTGTAGCCCACCAGTGAGAAATGGACAATTGTGCATTTCCTATGAAGTGTGTATTTCGTTAGAGCTGTGGTCAGAGAAGTGTTTTGGTATCGGGTGGAATAAATAGCTGCAAGTGCTGTGGGAGTTCAGTAATGCAGACACTCAGTCCTGTCCCGTCACAAGCCCCAACAGCTCTTGCTAGATTTTTGCAAAGGAGGTGAAAAGCAGAGATTTATTATTTTGCTAAACAGCTCCAGCAAAGTCCTCTCTGTTATCAGTGGGGCTGGAAAGAAGGCTTAGAAAGCAGAAACATTTAGGGGAGCATCTATAGTACACGGCCAGCTCTGAATTAAAAAAACACAGCAACAAAACATAAACATTAGATGCCATCAGGTAATTCGATGTGGGTGTGGGATAACAGCAGAGAGAGGGGCAAGTTCTTGGGGAATGCCTCCTGCCACCGTGCCAGCCTCCCCCCGTCCTCCAGCACACACGTTTCCCCATCCCTCATCCTTTCTGCAATACCTTTCTTCCAGCCTCATTGTTGTGCAAGTTCATCAGCCTCCGTGCATTCTTTTTGATTTCTCGGGCATCAACAAACCTCCGGGAGAACTCAATGCCGTATCTGATATCCGCAGAGCAGCCTCCCCACTTCCAGCCCTCCTCCTGGTTGTAGTAGCCCTGTTTCTCTCGGTCACAGCCACAATTGCTGAGGTTGCCCTGGCTGCAGGTGGCCGTGACAGCGTGTGCAACCCCGGCAGCAGTAATGGCATAGGTGAACGCAGCCTCCCTGCTTCCTGTGGAGAGAAGCCAAAAGCTGATGGGTTTGCAGAAAGGCAGCACTTACGTACTAAAGAAAGCACACACATTATCTACAGCAACCATGTCAGGCAGGAATGTGAGGAGGGCATGAATTCTGGTGGGTAATTCTTATTCTTACAGAATTACATATGTATTTAAAATGCTTGGCTCATCTGGGTCATGTTAGCCCAGGTAAGCCCCAGCCATGTGATAGTCCCATCTGACCCCCTTCACCAGGGGTGAATTTGGCAGTGAGTCTGGGCAGTGGTGAGGTGAGGCAACACGATTTTATTTTACGCTGTCTAGTCAGGTTTGCAAGATGAACTTTATCTATTTCAGATGAATAATAAGCCAGTCACTGGCGGCAATGCTGATCGGAAAACAATAGTTGCTTCTAACCATTGGCACTGCGTGGAAAAAGAAAAGCATTCAGACAACGTAAGAAATACCAGACCCTTTCAGATGTGTGGGAGGGCTAGGACACAGATGGGGAAGATTATTAATCCACCTTTATAAATGCTCTGGTGGCACCCATTAGTGATGCTGAGTGTAAAATATTGCAAGAGAGCCCTGTAGAGACAAGAGTTAGGTAGGTTTTGTTTTCTTTCAGGGTAAATCAGAGACTGCCTCTTTCCTTTGCTGAATTCTCTTGCATATTGGTTTTGCTGTAATTATGCTTTTCCACTCTGACTCAAACCTCCACATTAGCTTAGCTACTGAGCATACAAGGGGTATGACTCTTTTCAGCGGTGCCCAGTGACAGGACAAGGAGCAATGGGCACAAACTGAAGCAGAGGAAGCTCCGTCTGAACATGAGGAAGAACTTCTTCCCTCTGAGGGTGACGGAGCCCTGGCCCAGGCTGCCCAGGGGGGTTATGGAGTCTCCTTCTCTGGAGATATTCAAGAGATGGCAAAAATGCGGTATTTTATGGTGGACTTTTTAATTGGGTTGTGAGGGCGTGTGCAGCCTGCTCTGGGTGACCCTGCTTTGGCAGGGGGTTGGGCTGGGTGACCCACAGAGGGTCCTTCCAACCCCGACCATGCTGTGATTCTGTGATTCTGTGATTGGGTATGGAAGTGCTGTGGCAGCATCATTTCCTCTCCAAAAGAAGTGAGATACTGTCATGGAAGCACAGTCTTGTTTACAAAAAAAGTCTTTTTAGGAAGAAAGGTTGGGTTTTCTTCTATGATGCCATTACCTGCCAAGGTTCTGCATTCCCAATTCCATGCTATAGCTGACGATGCTGAGTATATGAAAAGCGGCAAACAAACCACCTTTCTTAACTAGCAGCCTGTTGGCTGACCTGCCTTTGGGATGCACGTAAGCAAGGAGGTGGAGAGGCAGAACAATCCAAAGGGATGCTACAGCCCGTTCCTGTGCTCACGTGAGACCTCACTCTGTCACTGACTTAACGCAGGGCTGGATCATGGCCCTTGGTGTTTTGTTGTTCTTATTTTTAACATTTCCCTA